CCCGCCGCGTTCCCAGGCCGCGCAGGTGTCGGTGCCGGCGGGTGCGAAGGTTTCCAGGGAAACGCGGCTCCGTCGCGGGAAGGAAAAACCATCAGGGAGCGGGTAGGGGGCCGCGACACCGGTATCGGCACCGGCACGGCCCCCGCGGTGGGGCCGGGCCTCGGGGTACGTGACCCCCACACGGCAATGGGCACGGGAATCCCCCGCCCGGGGGTACCGGGTGTATGGCGGCGGCCACGGGACCCTCCATGCCGGCTGTACAGAGCCAAGGCGTACACCGATGGGCACAGGACCTCCCCATACTGGGTGTGCTCGGGGTCCCCCAACATCAGGTACCAGCCACGGAGGCGGTTATGGGGCCAGCCCCACCAGTGGGGTTCAGGGCCGGCCCCCCGGAAAGTGCTGGCGACACGGGGTGAGCCCGCACCGTGTTGCTCCCCAGCTCGTGTTTCCCAGGGGCCACACGAAGCTCGTTCTGCGTTTCCTTGGCAGTGCGGTGACACGGAGGCAACGAGATAAATCCTGCTTATCACCCAGCGCCGGCCCGGCCCTCCCGCCGTCCTTGCTGTGCTCGCCGCCAGCTTCGTGGCAGCCCCAGAGCCCAGGAGCTGGTGTGCCAAAACCCTGGCAGGTTGGCACTGACAGGGCGCTGACCTCCCGCAGTCCCTCGCTGCCATCATGCTCCCCGTGGCACCCAGCCCTGGAGCTGCTCAGGTCCACATGGACCCCAAGATGTCACCCTGGCACCCCAGAGAGCCCTCCTAGCACCCACGCCACTGTCCAGGCACCATGAGGATAACAGCATGTGACCAGGCCGGTACCTCCCTGCAGACATGCCACAAAGCCACCAATTAATTGTTATTAATCCCCTCTGCCCCCTCGCTGGAGACCGTGCTGCACCCGACAGCGCCCCAAAGCTGTCACTGGGGCTGGGGGCTGCAGTGGGGACCAACGTGGCCCCGGGAGCATAGAGGGGTGCTCAGCACCCGGGCCACAGCCCCTTCCCTGCGTGCCCCTCGGTGCTGCCTTGGCCCTGCTCCCCCCCATTCCCAGGCCCCCTCCTGGATCTCATTAGCTGATGAGCTCCCAGATAATGAGCTCGGCGGCCCCGCTGGGCAGCTGCTTCCCACCTCCCTCTGTGTTTAGACAAGTGCTGGAGCGCGGCTGGGCTGTGACAGCATTGGCTGTGGGGTCAGAGCCCCCCCCAAGGGAAAGCCAACAGCCCTTCATCCCTCGGGGGGAGACAGTGTCCCCCCACATCCCTCCAGCCCCTATTGATGTCATGGGGGCACAGGGCCTTGGGGCAGCTGTGGCATGGGCGCAGGCTGGAGCTTGGCTGCAGAGCCGCAGGATGCTGACAGTGCCTGGCGCCATGCCCCCAGGAGCAGCCGGCCCTCATGCTGAGGGGGTCCCCCCGTGCACTGCTGGAGGCCCTGCCCAGGACCTTACTGCCTGCCTTGAACCCCTGGTCCCCGCTCCAGCACCTCCCGTGGGGGGGGGCGTCAGACGTCTGAACGGCCCCCGGCCCTGGCTGTGCACCCTCATACCTCCAATCAGGATGGGGACATCTGGTAGGGATGGGGTAAGCACCCCAAAAACGTCCTGGCAAACAGTCCTCTGCCCCGGGAGTGCTGCCACTCCCCGCCTCCCCGCTTCTGCTGCATCCCTCAGCCCACGTGCACAGGGAGGGTCCCCTGCTCTGGAACATCCTGAAGAGCTGAGCACCCCGCCCCTGCCTGGGGGACCCCGAACCCCATCTGGAGTTTGCGCCAGCTGGAGAAGCAGCACAGGGAGCCTCAGCTCTGTGCAGGGTGGGCACAGCACAGAGGGTCCCCACAAACATTCAGCCTGAGCTAAGGGAGTCAAGACTGCCTCAGGGAGCCCGAGGCAGCACGGCCAGGTGCAGGGAAGTCCCCCAGGAAGGGGAGCATTGTCCCACCATGGGCACACAAGCCTGGCTGCCCATCCCCCACAACCCCTGCCCCTCAGGGTGGCTGGTTTGAGCTGGGAGCATGCCCAGAACTCCCAGCGCGAGAGCTGGGAGCTGTGTGGAGGACAGGGGAGGTGTGGGGACACCCTTGGGTGTCAGGGCTGGCAGCTTGGGGTTCCGGCACTAGAAGGTCAAGTCCCTGCTGCCCGCTGCAGCACAGCCAGCCCGGCAAAGCTGTCGTGCAGGGCCATGCGGGCTCTGCCAGGGCTGGTGGAAGCGTTAGCATCTCTCATGGGCGTGTGAATTGGTCCCTGCACACTTCCCAGCGCCGGGCAGCACCAATTAAGGCTTGGAGGAGTCAGAACAGACACCTCTGCAAATGGGCCCGGCATTCCCAGGCTCCCAGCCCCGGCTCTGTAGATTTTGACACCTCCGGGCGGCCACAAAAGCATCACCTCAAACCCCAGCCCTGCATAAAGCCAGGGCTGCCCGGGCACCCCCAGATGTGGGCAGCAGAGTGGACCCCAGCCATGGCCGGACCCCCCACCCCGCTCCTTCCCCAGGGCCTCGTCAATGCCACTTATCTACCAGCTTCTGCAGAGCCCCCCGCCATGTCCCCGTGTCCTCTGCAGGGCCAGGGGCAGCAGGGTGGCCCCGGGGGTGATCCAGGGCAGTGCAGGGGAGCAGGGGGACCACGGCAAAGCGCCAGCGAGCGGGAGAAGCTGCGGATGCGGCGGCTGGCACAGGCGCTGCTGCGGCTGAGGCACTACCTGCCCCCCGCGCTGGCACCTGCGGGGCAGAGCCTCACCAAGATCGAGACCCTGCGCCTCGCCATCCGCTACATCGGGCACCTCTCGGCCCTGCTGGGGCTCAGCGAGGAGGCGCTGGCCCGGCAGCGGGGGGCAGCCCCCCGCCACTGCCCCCTCTGCCCCCAGGGCCTGGGGTGCTGCCAGAGCCCGGAACCCCACCGGCACCCACCAGCCCAGCAGGAGCCTTCACTCCCCAGCACTGGGGGCTGGGGCTCACCTGCTGTGGCAGGGACCCCCCTGGAGCTGGGGGCCTGGAGGCCACCACCCTGCGGCCCTGCTGCAGGGCCCCCCCGAGAGGTGCTTGGGGTTCCCGACACGGGGATGGAGGCCTGGGGGTCACCCTCCTACATCCCTGCAAC